CTTCACATCCATTCACAACTGCAATTGTTCTATTTCCTTTGGAGGACATGACTGATTCTCCTRTTTGAAGAACAGAAAAGGACAGCAAAACATAATTAGAATTTCTAGTCATTCTGGCACCATCTCCACTCACTTTGATTTGAATTTTTTCTTTAGCAGGATCAAAGTTTTCTTTCTCTGTAAGGACCTCTTTGATATGTTGTACCATTATTTGTTCAACAGAGTGGACTTTAGCACCAACATAGTTTGCAGGAAGTCTATCAATGTGACAAAGTGCATTTAAATTGTCTTTACATTGCTTTATAAGATATGACCTTGGGAGTGTTTTGTTCAACATTGATAACTCATGGTAAAAGCATTCACCAACACAAAATTTATCCAGTAGATATACAATTTCTTCAATTCTTTCTCTTTCATTGTCACTGAGAGTGCTGTACTTTTCCCCAGTTTTTTCAGTTCTCTTCTCTTTTTCATTGTTTGGTAATTGTATAACATGCTTGACACCAGTCTTTTGTTCTTCCACATACAGTGATGAAATTTCCAGCCCAAATGACTTACTGAACCACAATGCTACTTCAGCTTTGGACATAAAAGACTTCAGTGACCTTGACTTGTTTTTACTCTGAGATATGTGTTTTCCTTTATATTCCTTTGGCATATCTAAGTATTTTTCACAATTTTTAACATAAGCTTCCAGCTCATGGTTGGATTCCTGTAACTCACTTATAAGTCTTTCTTTTTGTGATAATGTTTTTTCCATTTCTTTGAATAATCTTTCTTTTTCCCCTTCAAGGTTTTTATAACGCTTTCGCCATTCAACAATCTCCTCTTGTAAATTCTCTTTTTCTAGTTCAAAATTCTCTTCAATTTTGCTTATATCATCCTTTAACTCAGTTGCCGATTTGATTTGTCCCTCAAATACATGAAATTTCCTTTTCCTTTCATTTAGCTTCTCTCGAGCTCTTCCTTTKGTATGMTTATACAGCTGAACTACAGAACCAGAAATTTTTACTAAATTCTCATTCACCTCTGCCCTTACAGTCTCATCATCACTGAACAAAAACAAACCACTGGGGATTGTAGCTTCTAGTAGGTCAATATACTTCATTGTGATGCCCTCTGTATTAACTACTTTGTTCCATTCTTTTAAAAAAGGGTATGGAATATCAACAGCAAAGACAGGTTTTCTTTCACATGATCTGCTGGCATACCTGAATTCATTCTCACAAAACTGTATTTTTTCTTTGTATCTAAGAAGCGCTGAATTTCTTTCATCTGACATTTTTTGTGGATTTTTTGTTTCGATTTTTGTATTTCCCGCCCAAAATTTTTTGCGCAGGAACCCCAAACGCTCCCTTTAATAAAGGAGAGGYTACTAAGGCATAAACAAAGAGCAAAATGGAGGACAAGTCATGTCGAAGTACAAAATCTCTYGTTTCTGCTMAAAAAAATYGACTTGGACCTTCGCATTCCACGATCCGAGAGGGCAAAAAATGGCATTTCTTCGAAGGAAAATGGAACCGGTTTAGGTAAAGTGTTTTTATCTTTTTTTGGCACAGAAATGTAGCTTAGTATGTGTTCTAACGAATAAGATTTGTGGGAATGAAAAATCTGGTAGTTAAGACATTTTTATGAGGACATCAACAACCRGATGTTAAGTGKTTTGGGGGTGGTTTTACAAGGAAAGTATGGCGGCTGACGGCTATTTTGGTGAGTATTTTCAATTGATTTTGGAACCRGTTTAGGACTTCGAAACGGCCGATTTTATATCGYCATATCAAAGACAATACATCAAACTTCAAAATAAGATTTGTGGGAAAATTGGAACGCCAAAAATATCAGAAATATTTGAAGATGAATAAAGTATTACATACATTTCTTTGTATTTCATTGCTCATTAAAATGCCGTGGATNACTGCCAATCGACTTGCTATATCAAATAATTTTGGTCTTTGATCAGTCTTATGTTATTCATTGTATTGTAATGATCTAATAAATTGTTGTAATTGGATTGCCTGAGCATCCAACAGGGTCCATGCAGAGTATCAAAAACGAAATTTAAGGGATTTTTAAGGACTTTTTCCAGGACCAAAATTGTATTTTCAAGCAGCATCAAAATCATGCTAATTGTAGATTCTTACCTCAAAACTTCAGCCGAGCGGAATAATTCAGAGGTCGCTAGCGCTTTGTGAAAGAGATCCATCTTTATCAAGGAGTTTTCAAGGACTTCTTCGAAATTTTCAAATTTTCGAGGAGTTTCAAGTGCTGTTGAAAAGTTTTCAATTTAAGCACTTTTCAAGGATTTAAGAGTGATATTCCCTAAGGATCACCTATCACATGCAAAATAATTTTTTTTCAAAATGCTCAAAACTGGCATGTGTAAAGGCCCTTGGGCACTGAATCTAKCGATGTGCATTTCAATCCATTTGGAATTTTATTTGGCGCTAACGGGGCCAAAATCTGAAAAATGACCTCATTTCCGGTTTTTCAAGGTCGTTCAGGTGACCTACAAAAAGAGCTAAATATCACTATAAATAGTAGGTATTTTCACAAATCAAATTTGTAAGCCTAGACTAGGGATGTAAGGCATCCTTCAGGCTGATTCACGCGAACGAAAATTAAATACAAAATATTTTACAGATCTTTTAATATTTTGTTTATTTTTGACATGGTTTGCATATGGCATGTTAAAACGCCTATATCGCCACTGATACATGGCGGAGCTAGAAACTATTCCTTCTGCAGCTAAAGGGTGTCCTATATATTAGTTTTATCAAATAAAATTTTGGGGCAATTCATAAACAAATGCTAGAGAGCGACGAATGTGGCCCCTATTTTCCGTTATTTTTAACGATGCTTCAAATGACCCGACATGACTAAATGTTCACAGTTCAAAGTAAAACTTACCAATTYAGCGCTTCAAATCACTTGTATTGAAGCGGCAGTCATAATTGATACTTGTGACAGAAATATTTTTAGTTTTTAAGTAAAAACATCCAACAAAATGACCCGAATTGATTCCAGTCAGCCATAATAGTCGCCATGTAGAAGTCSAGTTGAAACATATTTGCACACATCCAGCCACAATAGTCACATTAGCAAGACCCTAAAGCATATCTGGAATACAGATAGATCGTATCATTACAAACTTTAGCTAGATTAACTTAGATTCCGTACAATTTAGAAATGTTTTGAGATGTTTGTATAAATTATCTTACGGTTGACGCGAGAGCCGTGTGACATCAAAGAATGCGTGACATACACAGGAACTCCAAATTTATTTATATCTGTGCGCACTTTTGCGATCAAAAGATGAAATGATTTGATGATTTAATGTTTCTTTAATACTAAGTCTTAAATGTATTTCCTGTTTTATTTTAAAAGGAAACGAAAATCTGGAACTAAGAACTCAAATATAACGTCTATAACTACTGAGCGAGAATGTTTGCTAGTCATGATACTCATATTTCAACGCACGTGTACTCGATTTCGATTTTTGTCACCTTGATGTGTATGTAAAACTTCAAGCTTTCGATTAGCTTGTGTAGCGGACTCTCTATGCACATGATCTGGTCAAGATTTAGATTCAAAGCAACTGCAAGTGAATTTGCTGATAAGTAATGGTAAGTACTAGTGATCAGGAGTTTATTTGTTTACTTGTTTTTTGTGCAAAATATCAACAGATAGTTATGTAATCACGGCGAATCATGTATTGGATATACTGGTACACAAACGCTAGATTAACGTATAAAAACCAAACCAGATTATACCCTCCAAAGCAATTTCATAAAGGATAATGTGGTAGCTGTCATACATTGACAAGGAAGTCAAGTGATAACCTAAGGACGTCATACAAAAGCGCACTTCATTTTGAATCTAATCTTATAGTTAGGTTGTGGAATTTATTTTGATTTGTTTGTTGTACGTATGTGCTGATAAAAACAGATAGTATGATGTACTTTCTGGTTTGAATTGTAGCTAATAGTGAAGGGACATTACTCCTTGATTTATATAACACAGGCAACCCAACGACCAAAAATGATTTTTTAGCATGGTATTTTTTTACAAAATATTGTCGATGCTTCATAGATGGCTTCGTGCGGATTGTCTAGCCATGTTGGTGGGGTATGCGGTGGCACTCTAGATAATCCTGCAGATGTCGAATGCATTCCACTTAGCTCCTGTGTGAAACCCATTCAAGCTCAAGTCTGAAGTCTCTCGACGTACGAGATAGCACATTAAAGTCAGAGTCACAACTCATTCTAGCACGAGCAGGTATTTCTGATAAATCCTACTCACATAAGGCTAGGACCTCATTGTGTACAACAAGTGCGTAATAGTTACGAGATTGCGCTTAGTGAATTGATAACTCNTTTTTTTCTGATATTCCTTTCATCATTGAATCAGATAATATCAGGAAGGATGGTTTTATATTTCTGTCATCTCGGTTGTAATTACCTTGATTGTAGTGATCATGAATAGCTTGACCTTCACTCTGTTTGGTGTTCTCTTGTTTGGTTTGGTTCTGATCGTTTGCATGTTCTTCCACAGGGTTTTGACTTTGTATTGCAGAGTTTTCGTTTCTTTCATCCTGGATGTAGTTTCTTTGATCGTAGTTGTTTTGATCATGATCAATAACTTGATCTTTACTCTGTTCGGTGTCTGCTTGCTTGTTAGGTTTGTCTTGATGTTTAGCAAGTGGTTTGAAACGATTTTGACATGRAATTACAGAATCTTCGAAATTCTCTTGTTCAGTGCTATCGTGATCGCCTTCATCACTTTCACTGTCGGAGGACGAGTCTGCTTTCTGATTCTTCAGGTCTTCAATCATTGCAGTAAGATTTAAAATAGAGTCTTCTGTTTGTTTGAGTCGTCTTTCGAGTTTGTTCATTCTCTTGTTTTGTTCCTGAATCAGTTTTTCATGACTAGATATAATSTCATTCGTCGCATCAACAAGTCTTTTGTCAAAATCAATCTTTAATTCAAGGATTTTGTTTTTTACCTTTACTTCAGCATCTGCTATCTCGGCRTTWARATCAKTTTGACTGGTCAGTATTTCTGCAATTGATTCGTCAAATCGACTGTTTAGTTCGCTCTGATTTTCCTTTAATTCTTTTAATTCTTCATGATAATCTTCTAAGATTTCTTGAGCTTCCTGGCGAACGGATTGCTCAATTCTTGTACTTTCGGCTTGAGCTGCTGGTTGATCGATGTCTTCAACATTTTCATCTTTTTCTAATTTGATTTTATCCAGGATCAGTTTAAGAGCTTCTTCAGCTTCTTCTCTCGTATTATATTTCTTGTTCCTTCCACCGGGTTTTCCTTTGAAGAGAGACTCACATAAAGCGTAGTCGTCTTCCACGATCCCAGCAT